CCGCTCACTTGCTCTGCTCCCCCACCCCAACTCCTCCCCTCCCCTTGCGCAGGTGCCAGTTTCTCCTGTCGCCAAGATGAAGATACTTTACACAGGGAGCAGATGCGTTGCCAGCTGCTTGTGTGGCCGTCCCTGTTCATCCATGCGCGGGACATGAGAGAGAACAAGGGAGAGAAACAGAAGCAGGAGGAGGGAGCGCAGCGCCATGCCATGCCGCATGGCCCACCAAACCAGCCCCAGGTGCGTTGTGAGTCATTCGACCAATCCCCTCCTCTGTCCCCTTTGTTTTGAGTCATTTGACCAATCCCATCCTCTCTCCTCTTTGTTTTGAGTCATTTGACCAATCCCCTCGTCTCTCCCCTCTGTTTTGAGTCATTTGACCAATCCCCTCCTCTCTCCTCTTGGTTTTGAGTCATTTGACCAATCCCTTCCTCTCTTCCCCCTGTTTTGAGTCATTTGACCAATCCCCTACTCTCTCCCCTCTGTTTTGAGTCATTTGACCAATCCCCTCCTCTCTCATCTTTGTTTTGAGTCATTTGACCAATCCCCTCCTCTCTTCCCCCTGTTTTGATTCATTTGACCAATCCCCTACTCTCTCCCCTCTGTTTTGAGTCAATTGAGCAATCCCCTCATCTCTCCTATTCCTTTTGAGTCATTTAACCAATTCCCTCCTCTCTCCTCTTTGTTTCGAGTCATTTCACCAATCCCCTCCTCTCTCTCCTCTTTTTTTTGAGTCATTTGACCAATCCCCTCCTCTCTCCCCTCAGTTTTGAGTCATTTCACCAATCCCCTCCTCTCTCCTCTCTGTTTTGAGTCATTTGACCAATCCCCTCCTCTCTCCTCTTTGTTTTGAGTCATTTGACCAATCCCCTCCTCTCTCCTATTTGTTTTGAGTCATTTGACCAATCCCCTCCTCTCTCTCTGTTTTGAGTCATTTCACCTATCCCCTCCTCTCTCCTCTTTGTTTTGACTCATTTGACCAATCCCCTCCTCTCTCCCCTCAGTTTTGAGTCTTTTCACCAATCCCACCCTCTCTCCTCTTTGTTTTGAGTCATTTGACCAATCCCCTCCTCTCTCCCCTCTGTTTTGAATCATTTGACCAATCCCCTCCTATCTCCCCTCTGTTCTGAGTCATTTGACCAATCCCCTCTTCTCTCCCCTCTGTTTTGAGCCATTTGACCAATCCCCTCCTCTCTCCCCTTTGTTTTGAGTAATTTGACCAATACCTTCCTCTCTCCTCTTTGTTTTGAGTCATTTGACCAATCCCCTCTTCTCTCCCCTCTGTTTTGAGTCATTTGACCAATCCCCTCCTCTCTCCTCTTTGTTTTGAGACATTTGACCAATCCCCTCCTCTCTTCCCCCTGTTTTGAGTCATTTGACCAATCCCCTACTCTCTCCCCTCTGTTTTGAGTAATTTGACCAATCCCCTCTTCTCTCCTCTTTGTTTTGAGTCATTTGACCAATCCCCTCCTCTCTTCCCCTCTGTTTTGAGTAATTTGACCAATCCCCTCTTCTCTCCTCTTTGTTTTGAGTCATTTGACCAATCCCCTCCTCTCTCCCCCCTGTTTTGACTCATTTGACCAATCCCCTCCTCTCTCCCCTCAGTTTTGAGTAATTTGACCAATCCCCTCCTCTCTCCTCTTTGTTTTGAGTCATTTGACCAATCCCCTCCTCTCTCATATTTGTTTTGAGTCATTTGACCAATCCCCTCCTCTCTCCCCTCTGTTTTGAATCATTTGACTAATCCCCTCCTCTCTCCCCTCTGTTTTGAGTCATTTGACCAATCCCCTCTTCTCTCCCCTCGGTTTTGAGCCATTTGACCAATCCCCTCCTCTCTCCTCTTTGTTTTGAGTCATTTGACCAATCCCCTCCTCTCTCCTATTTGTTTTGAGTCATTTGACCAATCCCCTCCTCTCTCTTTGTTTTGAGTCATTTCACCTATCCCCTCCTCTCTCCTCTTTGTTTTGACTCATTTGACCAATCCCCTCCTCTCTCCCCTCAGTTTTGAGTAATTTGACCAATCCCCTCCTCTCTCCTCTTTGTTTTGAGTCATTTGACCAATCCCCTCCTCTCTCCCCTCTGTTTTGAATCATTTGAACAATCCCCTCCTCTCTCCCCTCTGTTTTGAGTCATTTGACCAATCCCCTCTTCTCTCCCCTCTGTTTTGAGCCATTTGACCAATCCCCTCCTCTCTCCTCTTTGTTTTGAGTCATTTCACCAATCCCCTCCTCTCTCCCCTTTGTTTTGAGTCATTTGACCAATCCCCTCCTCTCTCCTCTTTGTTTTGAGCCATTTGACCAATCCCCTCCTCTCTCCCCTCTGTTTTGAGTCATTTGACCAATCCCCTCCTCTCTCCTCTTTGTTTTGAGTCATTTGACCAATCCCCTCCTCTCTCCTATTTGTTTTGAGTCATTTAACCAATTCCCTCCTCTCTCCTCTTTGTTTTGAGTCATTTGACCAATCCCCTCCTCTCTCCCCTCTGTTTTGAGTCATTTGACCAATGCCTCATCTCCCCTCCCCTCCCCTCTCCTCCCTCCCTCCCTCCCTCCCCGTGTTTCAGCAGCTGCCAGTGGGGCGTGACAGTGCAGCACGGGGTGGGGCAGGCTGATGCGCACGCCCACGTGGTAAGAGCGAACCAGAACGATGCATGAATGTATGAACACAAAAGCAAAACAATGTACTAGGGCACATAAAAATCATGTGCCTTCTCATTCCCTCAAGGTGCCTTGCCGTTCCCTGCATGATGCCTTCTCATTCCTTGCATGATGCCATTTTCCTCCCCTTTCCAGCAGGTGCCAGTGCAAGGCATAATGTTTTGAGGTGTCACACTCAACACCTCCCCTCTGTCCTCCCGTTTCCAGCAGGTGCCAGTGCAGCGCATGTTGATTGAAGAGGTCTCACTCACCCCGTCCCCTCTTTCCATCCCAAAATTTCCTGTTTGTTTGTTTGTTTGTTTGTTTGTTTGTTTGTTTGTTTTAGTTTGTTTTGCTTGCTTGTTTGTTGTTCCTGTGTGCATTCTTTGCTCAAGGGGGGGGTGTAAGGGGGCATGGGGAACTGTGAGACGTCCAAACCACCCTCTCCCCTCCCCTTTCTGCCAGCTGCCAGTGCAGCGCCTGCCCATTTGAGCTTGTCTCACCCACCCCCTCCCCTCTTTCCCCACTTTCCCCCTTCTGTCAGGTGCCTTCTCATGCCCTGCAAGGTGCCTTCGCATGTTGCACGGTGCCTTCTCATGCCCTGCATGGTGCCTGTTCATGCCCTGGCAGGTGGATTTGCATTCCCTGCATGGTGACTTTCATTTCCTGCCAGGTAAGGGGGTAAGGGGGTTTAGGGTGCTCCCCCCGCTCACTTGCCCTGCTCCCCCCGCTCACTTGCCCTGCTCCCCCCGCTCACTTGCTCTGCTCCCCCACCCCAACTCCTCCCCTCCCCTTGCGCAGGTGCCAGTTTATCCTGTCGCCAAGATGAAGATACTTTGCACAGGGAGCAGATGCGTTGCCAGCTGCTTGTGTGGCCGTCCCTGTTCATCCATGCGCGGGACATGAGAGAGAACAAGGGAGAGAAACAGAAGCAGGGGGAGGGAGCGCAGCGCCATGCCATGCCGCATGGCCCACCAAACCAGCATCAGGTGCGTTGTGAGTCGCCCCAGAGCATGCACTGCACACCTTGCCATATCCCTCACACCTGCCATCCCACCATGCCCTCACACCTCCTGCCATCCCCTCACTTGCCCTGCTCCCCCCGCTCACTTGCTCCGCTTCCCCTCTCCCCCACCCCAACTCCCCCCCTCCCCTTGCGCAGGTGCCAGCTTCCCTCCTGTCGCCAAGACGAAGACACTTGGCTTGCAATGTGTAGAGTGGTAGGGATTGATGAATCTGATTACGTTAGGAACATAAATGTATGAGCCTGTTATTATATGATAGATAGGAAGCACAAAGTAGAAGCAGAAGCAGGAATGTGATATGACAGGGAGCAGATATGCATGGGCCATGCCCAGGGATTTCCAGGGCGGTTCGAGGGGGGCTGTGAGGGGCTGTGAGGAGAATTGGGGGGTAGGGGGGCCTTAGGGGGGCCTTGGGGGGGCTGTGGGGGGGTTTTTTCAGGATTTTAGGGGGGTTTTCTTCCCCTCTCTTGTACCCCATTTCTGCTTATTAACCAATCACAAGCAAGCTTTCTGCCATCACCTTTCCGATTACGCTCATGTTGTCGCCTTGCCGCCTGAGGAGGGGGAGGGGAGTAAGGGGGGAAGGGAGAGGAGAGCAGAAGGGAGAGCAAGGGGGGATGAGAGAGACGATATGCGCTGCTTGTTTTGATTTGCACACAGAAGGAGAGTGTGAGAAGGAGAGTGAGAGAAGGAGGGTGTGAGAAGGAGAGTGTGAGAAGGAGTGCCATACAGTGAAGTACTCGGGTATCTTGGGCACTGCAAAGCAGAAGCGTTGCAAGGAATGTGATCAAGATGATCCAGGTGGTCCGGGGCCCTCCTCCTGAAATACGTATGTCAAGATGTTGACCAGAGTGGGAGCCAGGGCAGTGTATGTAAGGGGTGGTGTATGTAGGGGTGGGCAGGGCAGGTGCAAACGTAGGGGATAATGAGTGACAGAAACTGAAGGGAGAGTGAGAATTGAATCAAAGCGGGGGAGAAAGAAGTAAACTGGCACAAGTTCACTACAGGTAGGCAGGATAAGTGACCAGCACAGGGGGGTGAAGTGACAAGGGCAGGGGGGTGAAGTGACAAGGGCAGGGGGGTGAAGTGACAAGGGCAGGGGGGTGAAGTGACAAGGGCAGGGGGGTGAAGTGACAAGGGCAGGGGGGTGAAGTGACAAGGGCAGGGGGGTGAAGTGACAAGGGCAGGGGGGTGAAGTGACAAGGGCAGGGGGTGAAGTGACAAGGGCAGGGGGGTGAAGTGATGAGACGTGCTTTCCTCACACCCACTGCCCCACACCCACTGCCCCACACCCACTGCCCCACACCCACTGCCCCACACCCACTGCCCCACACCCACTGCCTCACTCCCACTGCCCCACACCCACTGCCCCACACCCACTGCCCCACACCCACTGCCTCACACCCACTGCCCCACACCCACTGCCCCACACCCACTGCCCCACACCCACTGCCCCACACCCACTGCCCCACACCCACTGCCCCACACCCACTGCCCCACACCCACTGCCCCACACCCACTGCCCCACACCCACTGCCCCACACCCACTACCCCACACCCACCGAGTGGCTGACTGCTGGGTGGCCTTGGCATGCCGCAGCACCGCCTCTGCCAACTCACACGGCGACACCCTTCCCTGCTCTCCCCCTGCCTCCCCTTTCTCCCCCTCCCCTCCCTGTCCCTCCTTCTCCGGTTCCTTCTCTCCTCCTCCTGTAACCTCTTCCTCCTGCTCTTTCTCCTGCTCCTTTTCCCCGGCCTTATCCCCCTCCTTCCCCTCCTTGTCTCCTTCACCCTTCTCCTCCTCCTTTTCCCCTTCCTCCGTCTTCCCCACCTCCTCCTTCTCACCCTCCTCCTCCTTCTCCTCTCCCTCCTCCAACTGCTTTCCTCCCTTCTCTCCCTTCCCCCCCTTCCTGGCATCCTCTCTAATCCTCACGAACAGCAGTGCCTTGCACCCAGACTCCACACTCACGAACCGAGGCTGAGGGACGTCAAGGGGCGGGCGAATGGTAGGGGCAAGGGGAGGGAGAAAGACGAGTGGAGGGAGAAAGACGAGCGGAGGGAGAGGAGACGTGATTGGAAATTGCACTGAGCATTCTCACGAACAGCAGCGCCTTGCACCCAGAGTCCACACTCGCAAACCAAGGCTGTGGGATGTCGAGGGGAGGGCGAACAGCAGGGGCAAGGGGAGGGAGAAAGACGAGCAGAGAAAGGGGAGTGAGAGGGAGAGGGAGGGGTGATGATGGATCCTCAGAAACAGCGGCGCCTTGCACCTAGACTCCACACTCACAAACCGAGGCTGAGAGGGAAGGGGAGGGACAAGACGAGGGACAAAGGAAAAAAAAAAAAACGTTTTTTCTCAAACAGCAGTGCCTTGCACCCAGACTCCACACTCACAAACCGAGGCTGAGGGATGTCAAGGGGCGGGCGAACAGGAGGGGCGAGGGGAGGGCAAACGGTAGGGGCAAGGGGAGGGAGAAAGACGATGGGAGAGAGAGGAGGAGCGATAAGGGCTTCCACTTAGCATTCTCGCAAACAGCGGCGCCTTGCAGCCAGCAAGAGTCCAAACAGCAGCGCCTTGCAGCCAGCGAGACTCCACACCCCGAAGTGAGACCAGGTGAGAGCGTTCAGTCAGGTGACTTTTGAGTCGACTCAAAAGTCACCAGGTGAGAGCGTTCAGGACAAGGGGAGGGACAAGACGAGGGGCAAGGGGAGGAAGAGGGAGGGAAAAGAGGATTGCGAGAGAGGGAAGTGATGGGTGTTTGTGCTGGGCATTTATGCGAACAGCAGCGCCTTGCACCCAGACTACACACTCATGAACCGAGGCTGAGGGGCATGCACAAGGAAGGGAGGGAGAAGAGAAAGGAGGGAACAAGGAGGCGAGGATGCACAAGGGGAACAAAACAGGGGCACCTGGTAGCCTGAGACGTCTACCTACCCTCCAGGTTCTATCGTTTGCCTGTGCGCTCCACTCACCTCCTTGCCACCTCACCTCATCAAGCTGATCCCCTGTGCATGTCACCTCACAAGCTGATCTCCTGATCACCTCTTACCACCCCCCCCACCCCTCCTCTCCCTCACTGTGTGCTCGTGCCTCACCTCATCGAGCACGTTCACAATCTCCCGCCCGCACTCTCTCTCCCTGCCGGTCACACTCGACACCAGCCACCCCCTGCTGCCATTCGCGATAGGGCCCGCTCCCCCTCCACTCTGAGGCGCACGAGAGGGAGGCGCCGAAGAGGGAAGGAGGAGGATCAAAGGAACAATTTACTTTGTTTCGACTCCAACAACAACAAGCCCGCACTCTCTCTCCCTGCTGGTCACACTCCACACCAGCCACCCCCTGTTGCCATTCGCGATGGGGCCCGCTCCCCCTCCACTCTGAGGCGCACGAGAGGGAGGAGCAGAAGGGGGAGGGGCACGAGGGGGAGGGGCGGAGCAGAAGGAGCAGAGGGGGGAGGAGCAGAAGACGGAGGAGCAGAGGGGGGAGGAGAAGAATGGGGAGGAGGAGAAGGGGGAGGAGGAGAAATGAGGGAGGGGAGAAGGGTGAGGAGGAACAGCAGGTGGGGGCACAGAAGGGAGAGGAGGAGAGGAGCAGAAGGGGGGGGAGCAGAAGTAAGAAACGGTTGCAAACCACCTCCAATCCCTCCCCCTGCCAGCCCCCTTGCTGCCATACATTCTGGGCGCCGCCTTCTCCCCATTCTGGATCATAGGGTTTAGGGTGAAGGAGCAAAGGAAGAAACAATTGATCCTTCACCTGCACTCTCGCTCCCTGCCTGCTGCTGCCCGCCGCCACTTCGAAAGAGGAGATCGAGGTTGGGGTTTTGGGTGCATGGAAGAGAGCGAGCAACAACAAAGGGTTTCGGGTTTTGGGTGCATGGGAGAGAGCGAGCAACAACCAAGAGTTTCGGGTTTTGGTTGCATGGCAACGGAGATTCGTGGGCCGGGATGTGGGAGGGAAGAGAGACGGCGGGGGTGGGGGGGAGGGGAAGGGGGACAGCAGGGGTGGGGGGAGGGGAAGGGGGACAGCGGGCGACACGGGCCGGACGGGTGAGGACCAGAGGAGAGAGGCGACGGCGGGAAAATCCGCTCTGTGTAAGACCAAGTGCTCAAAGCGATATCAGGACCAGAGGGGAGAGGCGACAGCGGAAAAATCTGCTCTGTGTAAACCTAAGTGATCAAGGCGATCTGAGGACCAGAGGGGAGAGGCGGCGCCGTGGGAGCACACGATGGGAGGAGGAGAAGAGAAGGGGGGAGGGAAGACGGAGGTGTGTGCGCGAGCGGGAGGAGAGGGCACGAAAGGAAAGGGGGGGAAGGGGTTGAAGAGGAAGGGCGGGAAGTGGGGCGGATCGGGCTGGTGAGCGCACGCCGCCGCGGAGATCACAGCGGCGACGCCGCCAAGATCATAGCAGCGGCGACGCGCAACGGATGCTGCCGCGACTCGCGACCGAAACGCGACTGAACGCGCCTGCAGAATTGTCGCTGATTATCGTCGTTATTCGTCTGTCAGCCAAGAAAAACATTGGTACACGCCTGCCGGCGGTTTATGTTGACTAATGCGTCGCGACATAAGTTTAAAGGCTCACAGCGTTCAGGTATCGCGACTTGTGCCGCTTCGATTTCCCCCGACCTCCATTACCGCTCCGATTGCCCTCCGCCTCGCGCTTTCCGCGACCCATGTGCGATTGTATGGCCGTGGCAACTGATCAAACGAGGGAAACGCTCAATGGCTGATTTTTACAATCAACTATAGATCCAAAAAAAACGATTTTCTTTCAGGACCTGTAGCACAAACCTCCAATCATAGATGATCAGCGGGTTCAATACCTGTCTGGTCCTTTTGTTTTATCCACCTCTCAAGGCTCCATTTCCATTCAAATCTTATCTAAAGGTGTTTTCTTACTGCTCTGGGGCATTCTTCTTTCATATCATACTCGTCGTCGCATCCCTTCTTGTTGTAAGCCTCAGCCATCTTGACTGGTTTTTTCCGGACGTGCTTGTCATCTACACCTTCGTTGTGTTGCTTCGTTGGTGTAGAAGACTTTTCTTTACTGGCACACCTCGACCACCACACTGGCACGCCCCATGCCCTGTCACCTCACCCATGTGCTCTACAGCAGGGCTACTGGCGTCACGCCCCACCACCAGCACCAGGCTATCAGCAGCGAGTCCAGCACCCACACACCCCGTGCCCTGCTCTGCTGCACCACTCACCTGCTCTGCCGCACCACTCACCTGCTCTGCTGCACCACTCACCTGCTCTGCTGCACCACTCACCTGCTCTGCCGCACCACTCACCTGCTCTGCCGCACCACTCACCTGCTCTGCCGCACCACTCACCTGCTCTGCCGCACCACTCACCTGCTCTGCCGCACCACTCACCTGCTCTGCCGCACCACTCACCTGCTCTGCCGCACCACTCACCTGCTCTGCCGCACCACTCACCTGCTCTGCCGCACCACTCACCTGCTCTGCCGCACCACTCACCTGCTCTGTTGCACCACTCACCTGCTCTGTTGCACCACTCACCTGCTCTGCCGCACCACTCACCTGCTCTGCCGCACCACTCACCTGCTCTGCCGCACCACTCACCTGCTCTGCCGCACCACTCACCTGCTCTGCCGCACCACTCACCTGCTCTGCCGCACCACTCACCTGCTCTGCCGCACCACTCACCTGCTCTGCCGCACCACTCACCTGCTCTGCCGCACCACTCACCTGCTCTGCCGCACCACTCACCTGCTCTGCCGCACCACTCACCTGCTCTGCCGCACCACTCACCTGCTCTGCCGCACCACTCACCTGCTCTGCCGCACCACTCACCTGCTCTGCCGCACCACTCACCTGCTCTGCCGCACCACTCACCTGCTCTGCCGCACCACTCACCTGCTCTGCCGCACCAATCACCTGCTCTGCCGCACCACTCACCTGCTCTGCCGCACCACTCACCTGCTCTGCCGCACCACTCACCTGCTCTGCCGCACCACTCACCTGCTCTGCTCGCACCACTCACCTGCTCTGCCGCACCACTCACCTGCTCTGCCGCACCACTCACCTGCTCTGCCGCACCACTCACCTGCTCTGCCGCACCACTCACCTGCTCTGCCGCACCACTCACCTGCTCTGCCGCACACTCACCTGCTCACTCACCTGCTCTGCCGCACCACTCACCTGCTCTGCCGCACCACTCACCTGCTCTGCCGCACCACTCACCTGCTCTGCCGCACCACTCACCTGCTCTGCCGCACCACTCACCTGCTCTGCCGCACCACTCACCTGCTCTGCCGCACCACTCACCTGCTCTGCCGCACCACTCACCTGCTCTGCCGCACCACTCACCTGCTCTGCCGCACCAATCACCTGCTCTGCCGCACCACTCACCTGCTCTGCCGCACCACTCACCTGCTCTGCCGCACCACTCACCTGCTCTGTTGCACCACTCACCTGCTCTGCCGCACCACTCACCTGCTCTGCCGCACCACTCACCTTCTCTGCCGCACCACTCACCTGCTCTGTTGCACCACTCACCTGCTCTGCCACACCACTCACCTGCTCTGCCGCACCACTCACCTGCTCTGCCGCACCACTCACCTGCTCTGCCGCACCACTCACCTGCTCTGTTGCACCACTCACCTGCTCTGTTGCACCACTCACCTGCTCTGCCGCACCACTCACCTGCTCTGCTGCACCACTCACCTGCTCTGCCGCACCACTCACCTGCTCTGCCGCACCACTCACCTGCTCTGCCGCACCACTCACCTGCTCTGCCGCACCACTCACCTGCACTGCCGCACCACTCACCTGCTCTGCCGCACCACTCACCTGCTCTGCTGCACCACTCACCTGCTCTGCCGCACCACTCACCTGCTCTGCCGCACCACTCACCTGCTCTGCCGCACCACTCACCTGCTCTGCCGCACCACTCACCTGCTCTGCCGCACCACTCACCTGCTCTGCCGCACCACTCACCTGCTCTGCCGCACCACTCACCTGCTCTGCCGCACCACTCACCTGCTCTGCCGCACCACTCACCTGCTCTGCCGCACCACTCACCTGCTCTGCCGCACCAATCACCTGCTCTGCCGCACCACTCACCTGCTCTGCCGCACCACTCACCTGCTCTGCCGCACCACTCACCTGCTCTGTTGCACCACTCACCTGCTCTGCCGCACCACTCACCTGCTCTGCCGCACCACTCACCTGCTCTGCCGCACCACTCACCTGCTCTGCCGCACCACTCACCTGCTCTGCCGCACCACTCACCTGCTCTGCCGCACCACTCACCTGCTCTGCCGCACCACTCACCTGCTCTGCCGCACCACTCACCTGCTCTGCCGCACCACTCACCTGCTCTGCCGCACCACTCACCTGCACTGCCGCACCACTCACCTGCTCTGCCGCACCACTCACCTGCTCTGCCGCACCACTCACCTGCTCTGCCGCACCACTCACCTGCTCTGCCGCACCACTCACCTGCTCTGCCGCACCACTCACCTGCTCTGCCGCACCACTCACCTGCACTGCCGC